ATGAGGAAACTGAGACAAAATAGTTTATTCAAGAATGTACAGCTGTTAGCCATGCGTGGTGGCACATGCCTATAGTCCTAGCTACTTAAGAGGCTAAAGCCCAAGGATTGCTTGAGCCCAGGAGTTCATGGTTGCAGTGAGCTCTGATCTCACCATGGCACTCCAGCCTGGATGACAAAGTGAGACTCTATGTCTTAAAAAAGAAAAAAATATATATATAGCTAATAAATAAACAATTAAATGGCAAAGCTGGTATTAGAATCCGGGCAGCCTTACCCCAGGACCTGGCCTCTTAACCACAGTGCTCTACACAAAACAAATTCGCCAAGTGCAGGAAAGACAGCTACCCAGCCTGACACCTAGAACTGATTTTCTCTTTCAGGACTCACATGGGTGTTGGGAGATGCTGAAGAACTGCCCTTTGACGATGACAAGTTTGATATTTACACCATAGCCTTCGGGATCCGGAATGTCACACACATTGATCAGGTATGAATGGCTGAGTCCTCAGCTTGTGTGACTCCCAGGATATCAGTTCTCTCGCAGTAGATCTACAGTGAATGAGAAAAAAAGGAGAGAATTTTAACAAATCTTTTGAAAAACTTTTTAAAGGGCCCAGCACTTGAGTAGAATGACTATTTCAAGCTTAGGGGCCTCAATCCTTTAAATTGGCAACTTTTATAGTCACAAAATTCAAAAAGACCAAAACCCCCCAGAGCAATCCCATAGAAGTCTGTATTGCTTGGGTTGGTTTTCACATCTCTGGAACTGTTAGTTTTGCTCTGGCCTTTCGTCTGTCTCCTCTCACTTGTGAAGCTGTCTGACCCTGTGAGTTTGGAGATCAGAGACATAACAGAGGCTGACACAGAAAAAAGCCCTCAAACGCTATTTTGGCAGAAGGTAGTTAGATTCATCGTTCTCCTACAGGGAGAAGGGAACGGTCAGCTCTTAATCTGGTGCAACTCTTCTTTATTCCTCCTTTGACGTTCTGTTCAGAACATGTGAAGACCATGTGCAAGGTAACCAGTTTCATTTCTGTAATGTGGGCTCCAGTTGGTTGGGTCCTCTGCCTGGGTGGGACTTTCTTTATGGTGCTCTTTGGCTTGATTTGTATGACCTGTCCTGTGTCTGTAGCCAGTTTATTATGTCTTTTAATTAAAAAAAAAAATTGAATAGGTTCCAAGTTCAAAAGGTAAAAAAGGGTATATCAGTGAAAATCTCCCTCCTATCCTTGTCTCCTGGCCATCCAGTGCCTCCTCTTCCTTCAGATGGTCACCGGTCTTTGCAAGATGTTTTGTGCATATTCAGTGTAGATATTATTTTCTTTCTTTTTAATGCAAAATTAGCATATTAAACATTTTGCCAATTGCCTTTAAATATATACATACATTTATATACATATGTATATCTCAAAGATTTTTCCATGTCAGTATATAAAGAGCACTGGCTCCTCCTTTTTAAAATAACTGAATAGAGTCCATTTGTATAGATATTCCATGATTTTACTAGATTACTACATTGATCGTTAGTTTGAGATGTTTCTCATCTTGTGCTGTTTGAACAGTTGTCAAAAGACAAAATTATAACAAATTTAGTTTTAAGATAACATCATTCCATAAAATAGCATAAAATAGAAAGTGTTCCAGTGAGCTGAGCAGAAGAGGTTGGCTTTTTTCTCAGCAGCGCTGTTCAAGAAAAAAGAAAAAAAAAATTAGAAGAGGTTGGCTTTACAGTCAAAGAAAGGCTGAAAAAAGCAGAGAAGCAAAGAACAAAGGGCATATTAGTTCATTCAAGGCTACTTTTCTTGTAAGGGGAGACAGGGAGACAAAATAATAGAAAAATTACTGATTAGTTAACTTCAGATTACTTCAAACTACCTTTTTCTGGGTAAAAGGGAGGGTAAAGCAGAGGGAACATCATTATCATGTGGATTGTAGATTTAAACAGGGCTGTTAAAGAAATTGGCTGTATCTCTTTGTCCTGATTTCTCAGGTCAGATGACAACTTAGTTTAGGTTTGATGACGTGAAACGTTAGCATGAGTGACTCCATTTTGATTTTTAATCTGGTCTGTTGGGGCCTAGTGCAGAAACTTAGTTCAAAACTATGGCCTCCTATAATTTTTATTTAACACAGTGAGTAATCCGTATACATGTCATTTCTACAGTAAAAGTGTTTCTGTAAGATAGATTCTTTGGAGTAAAATTTATCAAAGAGAATATCCATTGTGACTTTGATAGATCATTCTAAACTTGCCCTTCAGTTTATTTTTTTTATTTATTCTTTTTAAATGGATTCCTTATTACCGCTCTTCAGGTTGGATTACTCCAACTAACCACCTCTAGTCACAAGCGGCAGTATGCCTACAGCATTTAGGATACATAGGGTTATTTCTGCTATTACAGCTTCCCAATGGAAAATGAACTAGGGATCTGTGAAAAATGATCATTTTTATAATACCTACAGATGCTAGAGCTGTCTTGGCCTCATGGAATTGAGTGAGGTTGACTGAGGAGTGTGTCCTGTTCTTTGTCTTGCTCAGGCACTCCAGGAAGCCCATCGGGTCCTGAAACCAGGAGGACGGTTTCTCTGCCTGGAGTTTAGCCAAGTGAACAATCCCCTCATATCCAGGTTGGCATCGTTAACAGGGCTTTATCTTTATTGCCTAGCCAAAGGATTTCCACACACACACACACACCTAAAAAAGAAAAATATATTTAAGAAAAACAAAAACAGGCCGGGCGCGGTGGCTCACGCCTGTAATCCTAGCTCTCTGGGAGGCCGAGGCAGGGGGATCGTTTGAGCTCAGGAGTTCAAGACCAGCCTGAGTAAGAGCGAGACCCCGCCTCTACTAAAATTAGAAAGAAATTAATCGGACAACTAAAAATATATAGAAAAAATTAGCCGGGCATGGTGGCGCATGCCTGTAGTCCCAGCTACTCGGGAGGCTGAGGCAGTAGGATCGCTTGAGCCTAGGAGTTTGAGGTTGCTGTGAGCAAGGCTGACGCCACGGCACTCTAGCCCGGGCAACAGAGTGAGACTCTGTCTCAAAAAAAAAAAAAAAAATACTTGTTTCCCCCCAATTTTTTCAAGTAAAATGAATGCTTCTGGCAGCTGCACCCCATTGACCCTGCCGTTGAGAGCCACTGCACTGCCCTCTTCCAAGGTGGCCAGGCATTGCAGGCCGTCTCTGTGAGAGGCACTGGTATATGACAAAGAAAAGAAAGTCCCTCAGATCAACGTCAGCATTTCTCTCTACCTCCTCCCCCACCATGAGTGTCTATGGTTATTTTAGCTCAATTCTTCCTCCTCCTCTTCTTCCCACCCCTGGAAGGAGCTGCCTGGATGAACTACAGCCCACTTGGCCCCCAAGATGAATAGCTCTTTTGTTAACCATCAACACTGATCAGAAGGCAGACAGTCACTAGTGTTTTTAGACAAAGGCACTATGTTTCCTTACTCCTACTGACAAGCATTTTTCCCTTCTCTCTGGTGCTTAGCCGTAAAGAATGGAAAACAAAGATATTAAAATGATAGGTAACATTCCATTTCTGGAATCGTATCTTCCACGGCATAGCTTGCGTGTCAAGCTCTCGTAACCACCAAAACAAATGCACCTGCATTGGAATTATCAAGTGCCACTTAGTACAGTTTTCTTTGTCATTCCTCCTTGCTTTGTCAATCTCCAACAATAATGCCTTTGCAAAAAGCATCATGAAAAACAGTTGAAACTGAGTAGGAGGATCCCATAAATTATTTAATGAATATAAAAGTTAATATGTAAAGACTTTTTTATCTATAGCATGGTTATGTATTTTATTTATATTTTATACTTAGCACTTGCCTCCCCAAATGGAAGCTGTGAGGACAGGAACTTTAAAATATATATTTGTTGGATTATAAAAGTGATATATTTGAGAGAAATTTTAGATTTTAGAAATCCAAAATTTTGTAAAAGTATTGAGAAGAGAGTAAATGTTACCCATAATTCCAACATCCAGAGATGCCTCTCATTTTCTCTTTATAAAGCTGTGAATATCCTATATATACAATTTAGTATCCTGCTTTAATTCACTTTAATTGTATCGAAAGATTTTTCCGCGTCATTAAAAATTCCTTGAAATCATTATTTTTTCATGATATTCACCCATATGGATGTTTCATGATTCACATACCCAATTCACATAACAACCAATTGATCTTTCATTTTTTTCTTAATATTTTGCATGTAGAACAATTTTGTGATACCCTTTTTTGTAATTTTTGCGA